AATGAAGCCAGTAGGATTATTTTCATTGTTGGTTAACTGATGTCTTTTTGATATCTTGGATACTTGGTATCAAAACATCTTAATTAAATTCTAGCCTGTTATTTTTTCTTGTTTATGTTTAAAAAATATATGGAAACTTAGACCAACATCAGAAGTCAGAGAAGGAGAGCTAAGAGTAGTTCTTAGTTTTGCTTCCTTTTATGTTATAGAACTAGATCATAGATATAGTCAAAAGAAAAAAAATCAAAAGTTCTGGACATTTTTGTTCTAAATCATGTTAGAAGCAGTGTGAATGTATTTATTTCTTATGTGTAGTCTCCTCTTCCCATCGAATTTGGTGGAGATTAGTCATTTTCCAAACAAATCCTACAAAACAATTCCACCAAATTAAAAATTATAGGTAATATAATCTGTTTAATACCTTTGCTTGGCAATAATGTTTTTTCATTGTTTACTATTTAATATTAGCGAGAATTAAGTATATGTTGAAGAAAAATACCTTTGACTATTTTTTTTAGAGAGGGGTAATGATTATTGTATTTGTTTTTAATCTGAACAGGAAGAGCCAGAGCTGGTTAGTGCGATTTATGGACGTGGGATAGCGTATGGGAAAAAAGGACTACATGTGAGTAGTTAATAGTTTAAAAAATTGTCTGAATTTTTGGATGTGAGAGCATATGGAGTTAGATTTAGAACTTATTACATACATCCCCACTTGTCCTACTACAGTGATGCTTTGAGTTTGAAGTAGGAAGCTGGAAAGATTGGCCTCTTGAAGGCCACTATTTTATCTAGTAATAAAATGAGCAGCATCTTGCCTTTAAGAGGCAAGTTTTTGGAGTCCCACTGGTGTGACTGCACACTTAGTCTGTATTTGCAAGTGGAGGAGTCTTTTATGGCCCTTTGAAAAGATTGCCAGCTCTTGTAAGCCTTTACATCACCACTTGATTCATCTGTATGTTTTGGTAGTATATACCTCCTTGGTTTTATACAAAAATGCTTGAGCTTAAATTGCTTAATTTGACATCGTGTTTCATAGTTAATATCAGTACAGATCTTGGGTCTTTTTTTCCTAAACAAATGGGTAGCTTTTTCGTATTAACACAACACATATTTCACTTAGTTGAGCTTTAAAGAGCAAAAGAAAAATACATTATGTGTCTAACAGATAAAAGAAAAACTCAAGTGTTTTTATTAGTAGCAAATGACTGCTCAATTTCCTGAGGAAAAAAATGGATTAAGTAGTAGACTGGTCCATGTAGTTTGAGTTTCTATAGCCTACTGAATCATGATTTGAGTGGTTGCTGGAATTCTGTAAGGCAGAGGAGTTGAATAACTCCATTAAAAATTGCCCAGGTGCAGAGTCTTTAATTCTTCAGCAGTGTTGACAGGAGGTTGAAGTTTTTCCTATTTGCATGTTATCATCAGCAAGAGTTTTTCTTCTCTGTTATACATTGAGAAAACGTCACTTTATGGTTTCTGTGAACACCATTTCAGACACGAAAAGGTGTTATCTCATAAAATTTCTAACTTCAAAAAGAAGAAAAATATCAATGAAACCTGATATAGAACTTGCTATATAACATTTTTTTATATAAATAAAGCAAAATATTGACAGCATCAACCCATTCCCCAGCACACTCAGGTTATAGGCGGTGCTGATGAAAACTTTGGTATTTGAGCTCTAGTCCAGTTAACTGTGTATGTAGTTGAATTGATATTGAAGGAAATGCATGGGAGCTTGAGCCACCTTTGTTGTCAAGAATGCCACCTATGGAGCTGTAACTTTAATGTTTATTCACAGTTTTATTAATAGTGAGTTATTAAAGGTGTAACACAGAGAGAGAAATAAAGAATATTTTTTGTTATTGTTTATATAATTTTTAAAGATATGTCCTGTATGCTGCAACTTAATCTTGTTAGCAAGATCGAAGAGCATGTAATGTAAAATGATGTGCTTTCAAAATCTTAGCCAACATAGCTGTACTTCAGTCTCTAGAATATATTATTGTAAATATATTCAGTGGTTTAACTTGTTTGTTTTCTTCTTTTCAGGACATGAAAAATGCTGAACTGGCTCTGTTTGAGTTCAGTAGGGTAATTAGCCTAGAACCAGATCATCCTGAAGTATTTGAACAGCGAGCAGAAGTGAGCAACTTTGTCTTTTCAGAACATTCTGTCCTGTTTTTGAGTATTTCTTTGCTTATTTGGTGATTAAAGCACCTTTAAAAATCCTTCTTGTTTTTAAGATTTTTGTTCTACAAATATGTGACTTATGTTTTATTTTAAAACTAAATATTCCCTATATTCTATGGAGCTACTATAGCCAACGGGTTAGCATTGTTACCTGGAAGTATTTAGTTTTTAATGGAACAGACAGCAACATTATGCTTTTCTAAAACATAATGAAGCAAAACATGATTTAACTCTAATGTTTGCATTTAGTGTCACCTCATAAACTTTTAACTGTATAACTAAACTGTAGTTCAGATACAGTTCTAACTTTAAAAATCACATTTTGCTCAATTAAATCACAGAAAATGGATTTCAAGCAAGAGTTCTGTGATATATCAAAAGCATAAATATTCGTTAACTTTAGAACATTGTAATGATGGTAATTGTCCTAATGGGTAATTGTAATTCAAAAATTTCATGTTTTTAATGATTTGGAAGTACTGTAACTAATCTTGGTCTACATATATAAAAGTTGAGCTTTCAAATAATTGGAAAGTAGACAATTTTCCATTGGAAAAATCTCTTTTGTCAAAATTAAGATGATTTATGAGAATATTTTAAATTTTTGGTTGAATATCTTGAAACAACTTGAAATGGAGTATATTGCTTTGACTGGCCTCTTTTTATGTGAATTACTGTATTTCTTCAAAGGGTGCTGGTGATGTTTAAGCACATAGATATTTGAGGGAATTTTTTTTCACATTTCATCTTGGGTAATAGATTCTAAGTTCATATTTTCCAGTCTGTTCCATCAAATATACTCATTCTAGTATAGCTGAACTTAAAAGAATTATCTTCAAATTTCTAAAACTAGTAATTGTTCTATTCAGCCCATTCTGTCTATAAGTGCTTGTTTTTGCATCTTAGATACTGTCCCCTCTCGGCCGAATTAGCGAAGCTTTATCTGATCTCACCAGAGCTATTCAGCTACAACCCTCGGCCCGACTCTACAGGCATAGAGGTACCCTTTACTTCATATCAGAGGTTAGTGGATTTGGGAGGCTATGTTTGTTCTGTGTTTTGTTCCTCTCTTTGAGTATCAGTTGCTACTTTTCGTTCAAGAGCATCTTTCCTATTTAAAAACAAAAAAAATATTCTTTTGTAGTTGACTTCCAACAGTTCGGGGTGTCCTTGAGGCATTTCATCTGAATATCTATTTTAATACAGAGAAGCAAAGGGCAAGCACATGTGTTAACTGTAAGATATATCTGGGATTGTTTTGTGTGTTTGAGGAATAGGACATGAATAATTAAAAAAAAAACAAAAAAAAAAAACAAAAAAAAAACCCTACAGCAGCATTTAAGGAGCATTGTTAAATGGCTATAAGAGTTACAGCCAAGACAGTAAATATCATATATACTGGGAAAAAAAAATCTACGAAGATGCTAACAATCTATTTTGCTATGAACTCTTTTTACATTGATGAGTTACTTATTTTGCACTACATTGTATCTTCAAAAATTGTATAATAAATAACAGCTATTTTGTTTTATTTTTGTGATTTCACTCTGCTTATTTCCAGCTATGTTTCCATTTGATTTGTTTTAAACAGCAATTGCTGATAGGAAAATTGCAAGTGTATTCTACATTCATTTCTCTTTGCTCTTCTGAGTAGCAGTTGGCAATCACTGCTGCTTGCCCCTGATACTGACTTCATATACTAAACAAAACCATGTAGTTAATTTTTATCAAGATACAAGTATGTTTCCTATGTCATCTAAAATCTGTTTTTTTTTTTTTTTTAATCTTAGGATTATGCAACAGCCCATGAAGATTTTCAGCACTCATTGGAACTGAACAAAAATCAGCCTATAGCTATGCTTTATAAAGGCTTAACCTTTTTCCACAGAGGACTTTTGAAGGTAAAATTATATTTACTAATTTACACATAGAAGAAAGGCTTCTATTCAACATTCTTTCCATAAAATACTTGGAAAATATTTGTTTGAACATGCGTGTATGTTTATTTTTAGCTATTCTTATGCCATTCTCTTTCTGCCAACAGTGGTACTTGCTCTTGTATGAAAGTGATTTCTTCAGTTGTTCGGAGTTTTATTAGGACCTCTGTATTAGGATATCTGTGGAACTAACAGCACTCAATAAAGGAATAAAGGCAGAGTACAGATCTGAAGGGGATTTTTGATCTGCAAAAATTAAAAGGCTTACGAATCAAACACAAAGGCTGTAAGGAGAGGCTCTGTTAGTTAAGGAGCTAGGCTGAAGTTTAAAAGTACGTCTGAAGGAATTCCATCAGTACATTCTCCTAAAATGTTGAAAGAATAGCTTGTTCCTGTAATAGACAATAAAACAGACAGAAGATTTCCAACTAAGGCTTTAGTTAAATTGTAAAGAATATTGCAATTTTCTTTTTTACATAGTGATGATTACCCTATGGACTTTTGTAATAAGTTGATGCTTTCTGTGTGCCTTCTGCACCTACACCTTTTCTGTGTATCTTCTAAATGCTACAATTTAATGGATGTAGTAAGTGATAAAGTATTTTTTCCACTGGTGTTTTTCTATAGGAAGCCATTGAATCATTCAAAGAAGCTCTGAAGCAGAAAGCAGACTTTGTAGATGCATATAAAAGTCTGGGACAAGCGTACAGGTAATCAGACCTAAAATTTCTTCATGAATGTGTTTGCAATCTGTTTATGTTCTTTCCAGCATGCTGTTTTATGCATTTGTTATAAAACCATAGAGAATCCTGTGCATATTTAGTAGCTTTTACAGCCAATATAGCTATGTTCAGGATGTGATCAATATGAATAGTCTTCAGGTTTGCTTTGTAGTTCTAATTCAGTATCTAGTAATTTTAAATGAAAGATTAGGTGAATGGTGAGTTTTTGTAAGATCTACTTCATGTATGCAAAATGATTTATTAAATACAAACTGCAAGTAAATATTTAGTTAAATACACTCATTAGTTGCCTTCTGAGATTGTTGTACTGCTAAAACATATGAATAACTTACTGGATGATTTATGTGTCATTGTTATAGAATCACAGGTCTGCTAGATTCTATGTTAATTACTCTCACACTAAAAAGATTTACAGTTTTGAAAATACAGATAATTTCCCATTCAACAGGTCTTTAATAGAGACTTGCATTTTTTTACCTATCAACTAGAATTAAAAACATGTAATCTTGATTAAGTATTAAGTAATGAGTCATTTTTTATTCTGTTAATCATATTTTCTTAATGTAAATTGATTTGCAGTATAATAGAATATTTCTTTAAATGTATTCTGCAAATAATTATTAAGGAAGAAGGTACCTTATGAATAGCAAGACCATAAACTAAGCTTTAAAGTGATTTGGTTTCCAATAGACCATTGTTTTATAATACAGAAGTCACTTAACCAGAATATTCCTCACTCACTTCATTTGAGAAGAAAAACTCCAATAGTTCTTTGGTCTTCAAGAAATGCTGGGGGAAAGAGGGTCCAGAAATGTATCTCTTCCCATGGGTAGACACCAAAAAGAACACAATTTTCCCTGGTGGAATGGAAATTCGTAAGGTGTCTGAGTGACCTAGAGAGAGTCTCTGTCAGGACCTGACTAAAATCATATAGTTTATAAGGAGGGCTTTAGAGTTGGTCTTAACCTTTTTTTTTTTTTTTTTTCTTTTTGTAACACTTAATGTCCGAAGCACAACTACTGTTGTCTTCTGTAAATTCTCACCAGTTAGATAAAGGATCTCTAGGACAACACCAGAGACTCTGTGGAAGTGTTTAGCACCCAAGGAGACCGTAATTAGTGACCAAATATGAAAAATCTGAAAGAGCTGTGGTTAGTGTTCTGTCTAAAATTTATTTATTGCAAATGTACTTAACTTTTTTTTAGCGTTGTTGTTTGGTACAATTTCATTTAATATGATGTGGAAAGAATTTAATGATCTTGGATTTTAAAAAGCAATATAGTAGATAAAAGAACACAACCTAAGCTGAATAGTGTGCGTATAAAAGTGTTTCTTTTGGAAGCTTGAAAGACTTATTGTAGATAGTGTTCCAATAATGCTTTTTATCATTATTTTGATTCTTGCAATACCGTAGATAGAGCTCATTTTTTATGGTTTACATCCACTCAGAATTATGAACATTTGCAGTTTTATGGAGTTGCATATCAGAGCACACATTTGTGTAAATGAAAACTCTGGGTATCTGCTTTTTATTACCATTTTTACTACACGAATGGCTATTTTAGTTAAAGAAATTTTTACTTAGTATCATATTTCTTTCAGTGGTATCTCCTATGGACTCATTAAAACAATTTTTAATGAGTAATTTTGTTTTTACTGTTACTTACTATATACCTCACTTTACGCTTCCTGTAATTGCCCAGAGAGCTTGGCAACTTTGATGCTGCAACAGAGAACTTCCAGAAGGCTTTGCTGCTAAATCAAAATCATGTTCAGACACTACAGCTCAAAGGAATGATGCTTTATCATCATGGTAGCTTAGATGAAGCATTGAAGAATTTTAAGGTAAGCAGTGTAAGATCCTAAATAAACTCATATTGTGAATGTTTTAAGTACAACTAATTACAAAAAAATGCACTAAAATCAACAAATGACAAGATTTTTCAGTCTGAATGCAGATAAGCATTTGAATTAAAATTCAGATTTTGTGTGTACATACATGATGTATGTGACCTGAAAAACAAATTTGGCTAGAACTAGGAGACTTCCTCCTTCATTAATTTCTAAAACCAAGCTCTGGTTGAAAGGCTTTCTAGCTTGTTTCTTTCTTTTAGAAATTAGTAGTTGCATTCTTGCTGATACTTTAGTTTGGGGTGAATTTTTAAAATCTGGGAAAGTATTTCTTTTTTTTTAATGCTAAAATAAACATACAAAGTTCCAATATTTATCCTTTTTTTTCTCCCCTGTGACGTATCTCTCAGTTTTTAGTCATTTATTGATCTTGTAAAATGCACGTATTTCTGTAGATAAACAAAATCTCGCCCCTTTCCATTAGTATTAAATAATACTACCATTTTTTTCAAACAGAGCAATAAAGGCACATATTGTAATTGTATCTTCATATACCTAAAACAAGAAATGAAATGAGACATAGAAACAATTGCATCTCTTTCTGAATGAGAGTGTGTTTTTTCCTGCATCTAAGGAGAGAAATTTTTTTGTCAATTATTGCTACATGCTTCACATATATAACACAATTTATAGATACTGATGTATTTGAAGAGAGATGTAACTGTTAGGAAAAGAATCAGAACATTACTTTTAAAGGATAGTATGAATTTGGTTAGTGATTAACATATAATAAATAGCAGACTGTAACATAGTAAGTTGTACTTATGCATGAACTTGCCAAGATGCTGACGGAAGAAATGGCACAATATGTATGCTGAACTATGAAAAAATGGCCATTTACTAATGTCATCTGTAGTATGTCCTGTCTAGTTTGCTTAAACTAATGAAGCTTTTGTGTTAGTAATGTGATTTATTTTCATAATTAAGTGTGATCAAGAGCATATGCCCATTTCTTTCTTAAACTGCTAGCAAAGGTGAGAAAAATGTTTTCAGCTTTAGTGCTTAGCATCATTTGAAAGAAAATAGTGATAGAAAATGGTGTTTCAGTCAGTTCGTCTCTTGTTTGGTGCAGGTCATCTTAGCTTGTTTGAAAACTTGTTGTCTCTCTTAATTTGTTAGTGCTTTGCTTCTTTAATCTCCTAGAGATGTCTACAGCTAGAACCCTACAACGAAGTATGCCAATATATGAAAGGTCTCAGCCATGTTGCAATGGGACAGTTTTATGAAGGCATAAAAGCTCAAACAAAAGTTATGTTAAATGATCCATTACCGGGCCAGAAGGCCAGCCCAGAATATTTGAAAGTTAAATACCTCCGAGGTAAGTTGAAGTCCTCAGAGAACCCTGTAAGTGCAAGCATCATGTTTATAGTTAGAGGCTATTTTAAATAAACCAGCCTGCAACTGAGCGATGTTGAGTATGCCTGTTTGAAAATACACAGGTTTTTGTTTCTTAATATTATTAAAAAATGGGTCACCAAATAGTGACAAATAGTTGGGTCACCGATAGAAAAATTCTGTGTAGCAGTAAAGAGTTTAAAGACTTATTTCTGCCTTGGAAATTAAATAATTCAAAATCACCCAATTTTGCTATTTCTTTATTAAGATTTTACTGTTAGATAACTGACAAATGTACAGTCTGTTTTTTTCTTTTTGTTTGATTACATAACTAGGCTGATTATGCAAATGGTATTTAATTTTATTGCGTTTCTTTCCTCCAGAGTATTCTAGATACTTGCATGCACATTTGGATACCCCTCTTACAGAGTACAATATTGATACAGATCTTCCTGGAAATTTTAAGGACCACTGGGCCAAAAATCTTCCTTTTCTTATAGAAAATTATGAGGAACAGCCAGGATTGCAGCCACATATAAAGTGAGTGTTTTTTCTTTTTCCTAAATATCCTCCTTTTTAGCCGCACTAAAAAAAAAAAAAAAAAGAATTTCTCCTGCTGTAAACTCATTTCCAGATTTATTTGCATACAGTCACTTTTTTATGTAAAATAAGTTTAAAATGTAAGCATGGGTGTGTGAGGGGGATATAATAAGATCTACCTTTGTAGTTCCTGAAACATTTACAAAGTTGAAAGAGAAGTTACAGTATGAGGCTTGTACTTTATGTACTATTAATGTTAAAGTCTAAAGATAAATTGCTCTTTTTATAGTAGTACAATTTGCTGTTGAATTCAGTATCACCGGTATTTGATTTGAAGTATGGCTTTGTGCGTGTAATGGGGTGGGAGGAAGAATGAATGTTCTTTTATACTGCTTTGAGTACTTCCCACACCAGCAATATTGATTACTATACATACAAATTTTTGTTTTACTTCTCAGCATAGATCCTGAAAGTTTCAATGTCTGATATGTTTCTTTCTTTCTTCTCCACAAGAGATGTGTTATTTCAGAATTTTGAAAGCTATAAGCCTGGTGTGCAAGACCTCATATGTGTAGCTGATCATCTGGGTTCAATGATGCAATACGAGACACCAGGATTTCTTCCAAATAAAAGAATACATAGAGGTATATTGAAAACAATCTGTGAATCTGTGAAATAGTTTTATGTAGTCATAATTCAATGCCATGCCTTTGTGATCTGCAAATTAATCCTATGCTCTATACATTTCAAAAAATTATAATTAAAAATTTTTAACCATTTATCATAAATTTCCTGATCTAATTTGGGGCTAGCAGCCATGGTTTTTATTGACACTTGGGGGTTCTTTTTCTGTAAGTGCTTCACTTCCTTGCTATAGTTTCCTGTCTGTACAAAAATGAGTGTCGTGGGTTTTTTTGTTTGTTTTTTGTTTTTTTTTACACCTGTGGTTTCCCCTTCCCTTTCAGCAATGGGATTAGCCACATTAGAAGTAATGCAAGCTGTGCAGCGGACTTGGGCAAACTCAAAAGTTCGGATGAATGGGAAAACCAGATTGATGCAGTGGAGAGATATGTTTGATATTGCTGTAAAATGGCGAAGGTAATGGTAAAGGAAGAGGCAGAATAAGCCTTAACTTGTCATAATGATGCATGTTTCAGTTAACTAGAGGGCTGAAGGCAAAACAGATTAAACAATTGTTCTTCCTCTGCTAGAATTGGGTAAGTAACTTCAGCCTGTGTCCTTTAATGTATCTTCTTGTTTGTTTTGGTGCAGTCTGTACAAAATCATGTGCATTCCATAAAGAGCTATATAACAATTTATTCAAGCCAAGTGTTCAGTTTGAACTTTTCTTGTTTTTTGGGGTGTTAGGTTCCCCCCCACCCTGAACTTCTCTTCCCCCCAGTTCTTACAAAACTAAAATAAAGATGCTTTACAGGCACAAAAGGACAGGTGAATGTTTTGTTGGGTGAACATAATAAATTATTCCATAAACCTTAGTACTAATATATCATGATAATAGGGATGATAGTTGTTAATTAGATCAATAGGTAGTTGTTAAATATATGATACTTAATAGTTGAGTGATTTCTATTTTAGGTCATCCCTTTAAACTAAATTTTAGCCATGTGTTTGTTCTGAGATGTTGGAGGTTGATAATGGCAGAGGCTAAATCTTCTAAATTTGAGATCTATGTCTTCCCTGATGTAGACATCTCTTGTCAGTGGGCTGTTCCAGTGCTCCCTTCCTTAAGGAAGGTCTGAGCAGTATTGAGTAGGCTCCTCTCTTCTGCAGTTATACTCGGAAGAAGTTCCTCAGAGCTATTGTTCCTCAAAATCATTTCATAGATAATTTTCATAGATAACAGCTGCTGTAATACCGCTGTGTGCTGATTATTGAGGTGGTGTTTTTTTTCTTCATATTCCTATGTAAGAAAAGTTAGCAGGGGGGCTCCCAGGCCATGTCCAAGTGTCTGCCTTGGGTCAGCCCAGCAGCCAGGATACTCCTGAATCCTGTCTCCAGCAAGAGCTGACTGCAGGCGTTCAGGAAGAAGTGTGGGACTAGAGCGAGCACATAGGAATTCCCCAGAACATTTTCACAATTTATGATAGTTTCTAAGGCTCAGGGAGTTCAGGAGCCAGAATTGATTAATAATCTACTTGAAATGATTAGTAATGTACCTAAAGTTCTCATTCTGCCATTATCCTATCAGCAATGTTCACTATTGGGAACAAGAAAAAATTGTGGCATGTTTCAATTTTTAAATCTAGGAAGTCAACGTAAAGGAGTTGGTCATCTTATTCACTTTGGTTCAATTCTTTAGGAACCAAAAAGTTGTAAAAGCCTCTTTAGGTAGTTAATGCCAGGGCACTAAAAGCTGAAATACTGGAAAATCATGAATGTCCTACTGCAAGCACAGCAGTTGGCCTGCTGTGAAGATTTCACTACCTTGCAAGCACCTAATATGTAGGTGGTTCTTAGTAGATCCAGTCCTAAACTTGATTGTGACTCTGATGGATGCTGTTTGCCATGAGAATCAGATTTTTCATTTGTCTTATTAATTTATCAAATTTTGCTGTTTTTTTTTTTTCCGCTAGATTCTCTTGCAAAGTAAAAGATGATTCTTGCCCCACAGTTTAATAGGAAACCACAGCAGATAGATGAAATAAGTGTGAGGAAGAGGAAGAAATGTAGTAAGAGTATAGCTTTAATAATAATATTTGCTTATCCAGATGGTATTCAGAGGGTCTACCCTCTTTGTACAGAGTCTACCCATACAAAACACTACTTGTATTTTAACTTATTGTACTTGTAATTACATTGTACACTTTTGTTTTAATTGTTAGCTTGCTAAATGACATACATCAGATGTGAGCAGCCTCATTTTTATGACATTAAATTCAAAAAGTGGAGAAAGCATACGCATGCTTCCTACCCACAGAATGATAGTATTCTGATCAAGCACAAAGATGCTTTCGGTACAAGAAGTTTGCTTCTGAAAATGTTCTGGCTCACCCCTGTTAACTAAGGGAATGAATGTACATTGCATCCTCTGGTTGAAGCTTGGGGAGAACTGTAGGATACATTCCAGCTTTGTTTGACTAATAGAAGATAGCAGCTGGAGCAAACTCTCCAGCTACGTAAAGATTATTATGAGGTGTTTTCTTCCTCTTATAAAAGTTTTATGCATTGCAATAAAAAGGTTTGTCTCTGTGATCTCTGAATTCTAACTTTTCCCTGAAATTATGTGTATAAACAAAGTTCCTGTGAATTCACAAGTTAAGATGTACTGTTATTTTTTTCCTACATTGCAAATGTAAAGAGAGAAATACGTGCAAATGTTAATATTCTTTTTCTTTTTAGGATAGCAGACCCTGACCAGCCTGTGCTTTGGCTGGATCAAATGCCTGCCCGAAGCCTTAGCAGAGGTTTCAATAATCACATTAATTTAATCAGGTATGAGACTTTTACCAAACAGATTCTCATCTCCTTCTTCTCTCACCAAGCAGTCACACCAATACATACCGTCATGAAACAGAACGGGACAATGTTGACTGTATATTTGCTTTCAAAAAAAAAAGTTTATATTTTCCAGTATTTCATTTCCTCTGTGCTCAAAATTTTTCCTCAGGGGATTTCTCATTATTCCTGAATTTCAGGAATATCCTTTTACAGCTGTGTTTTGGGAAGAGATGAATAGTACCCAGAATATGAATATTTTTACATGATGTTTTTTATTCCTAAATAATCTAATTTTTTACATTTAAGTAAGGTTAATTATCATGGGTGTATTTTTTACAAATACTGCTTCTAAAAGCTAGTAGCAGCGATAATGAAACGCTACTGTTCTATTACTTTTAGTACCAATTTCTCTAAATGAATAGAGAGGAAGCATATAGCATTTTGGGTGTCCTCAGAGGAGGAAAAAGTAAAGCAAAGAGGAGAAAATAAGTGACCTGTTAACAGTGGTCACAGATGAAAGGATCAACCATTGTTGTACGTTCCATCTTCTCCCAAGCTGCAAGGCTCAGTGTTGCAGTTGTGACAGTGCTACCTCCCAAGGAGGAGTAGAAGGGTGAGACGTTCAGTGTGGCAACATCACTGTCAATCACAGGAGCAGAGTGTATTTGTGTGAGTAAGTACCTAGCCAGGTTTCATCTTGTTTTGCTTCTTGCCTTCCTACCTGCAACCTGCAGGAAGTAGGGAATCTGTGGTCTGTCATCCTGCTTTTGTTTCTTTCTTTCTTTTTGAGTACTTCTGTGGAAAAGAGAGGACAAAGGGAAGAGTTTAATGTCTCTTAACCACATTGAAAATAACTTCTGAACACTTAATCTGCTAAAGTTGTGTCCCTATGCACCATCTCTGTGTCAACAGCTTTGTTTTTTATTGGCCAAAGTATGTTACTTTCCCCTGAGGATGCCCCCCAAAACCCCAGTTAATCTGCTGTTCCTGATATTTTGGTGATTCCTTAGAACTCTGAATTAAACTGTAGGAAAATTCAGAATTGCAGGCCCACAGTGAATTAAATTGATTGAGGTTGGAAGGGACCTCTAGAGATCATCTAGTCCAACCCCCCCCTGCTCAAGCAGGGACACCTGCAGTACATGGCACAGGGTGGCACCCAAGTGGGTTTGGAAGATCTCCAAAGATGGAGTGAGTTATTCGGGGATTTTATTAAAGGATTTTTCTTAGATTTTAGCAGCCTAAATGCCCTCATCTGGGATACTGGCCAGACTTCAGCTATTGAAGCTGTAATGAGCAGGATGCTCATTATATCCTTTTTCACCCTGGGAACCTATACCTGTTTGACCACTTTTGCATCCTGAATAATAGTTATTTTCATAGCTCATCTTTTTATAGCATATTTGTCTGCTATTAGATTCCCTCCTGATCATTTTATTAGGATCAGACAAGGGCTAAAAGAAATGAATGTAAGTGCTAATAGTTTCTTAAATTTTACTTTTGAAGCATGCCTGTGTTTTCTAAATGAGAGTTTACTCCTACTGGGTTGTACAGATTATATATTCCCCTTTTTTATTACTTTAATCAACTGTAAAATAGCTGCTAGTTGAAATTAATAATAGGCTGCAAAGCTAACATCTTTTTGTTTAAAAACTATAAAATAGTCTCACCTATGGACTGTTACTTCAGGAAGACATACATTGCTCTGTATTCAGCTTATAATTTGAAAGTTATTTTTGTACTGTCAGGCTGAGACTAAATTTTTTCTATAGCTTTTCTACCTGGAAACCAGGTATAATAGTAGATTATGCAGGCTGACAAGTGGCAGCTCTGCAAGATTATTAAATATACCAAAAATACAAGATGCTCAGTCAAAGCAAGTGAAAGTAGCAGCAGAGTAGTAAGCATAAAGTGCTAGTCTCAGTTCTTCATGATGAGACCAAGTATGAAAAGGAGTAGATAGTTCTCAATTTCCTACTAATTTGTTACTGGTTCTACTGGCAGTAACTTAAATACTAGTAGAATATTTTGATGTATAGACTAAGGAAATTGTGCTTTCCCTTGGAAGTACATCATAAGCACAACTGCAGCAATTCCAGGTACTTTCTACCATAACTTCCTTAGTTGGGCTGATTCAGTGTCTTCTGTTGCATGTAACTTTTTGTAGTCTTAGTGTTGTAGCATGTATGGGCACAGCTCGTTTGGCAAAAATGAGGGATGGAAACCACTAGGAGGAGATCAGGGAGGGAAAAATCCTTTAAATTGTTCTTGAAAGCAGTACTACTGCTTCTAGATGGGCTCACTTGGATCTGTTTTTCCAAGTGCCTCTAAAGGAAAGAAAATTCAGTGCCTTATTCTGACACACTTCTGCCTGTTGTACAGTTTTCTGGTTGTTTTTAAATAAGATGGAAAATGATGGGACGTACAACAAGGGCAAATTATATATGGAAATTTGTTTTCATTCTTTTTCTTTTCCTCTTTTCTTTCCTATATGCATATATATATGGTCTGATTCTGATTATTTTTTAAAGGCTGATTCTATCCCAGTGAGGTAATGTAGTGAGATATTAGAGTTCAGCTGTCCAAATTGGCTGTTTAGAGTGAATAGAAGCCAGATATATACACCTTCCTGTGGTTGACAGTGATTTTGCTTCCTCAAACAGAAAACGGTAACATTTGCTTTATAAAATCTTGTTTTGTAGACTGGGAGAAGAGGAAGGACTTCTTCAAGTACAGTAATGGTATGTAATTTTCCCTTTCAGAGTGGTTGTAATCCTAGTAGGATGTTACCAACTTTTTTTCCTTACTTTTCCAAGGGAAAATATACCTTTTTGTCATTTTTGTTTAACAGTTACTACTTATAACTGTTAAGCATGAAAGCAAAATTACATTGCATAGAGACTTAAGTGAAGAAAGAAAACTGTACTTGGACAGTCAGAGCATATCAGCACATCTGTTGGCAAATACATAAACTGGAGAGGTTTCATTCGCAGAGAAATCAGTATGGGGACTGATAAGCCCCTCTCTATTCTGTAATTTCTTCTAGGGTGCGTAACTAAGAGCAGTGGTTTCCTGGTACATATCTATGATTATCATATAGATATGTTGCATTGTACATGGGAACACTAAAAAAATGGGGAAATAGCCGTGTGATGTCATTTGTCAGGGAACAACAGTACCAATGATAACTCATATTTTGTAAGTCCACTTTTGGAATTATAGTCAAAGTGGGGTTTGGAGAGTTCAGCAGTTCTGGCAAACTACTAGTTGTATCCTGTAATTTATGAAGCACCTGTAGATAAAAATCTGTCAAATTTTAATCTTTATATCTTAGCTCTAAAGCATGTTGTTACAGTTGAAAAACAAGGATTTTAAAACTTTTTTTTTTTTCTTTGTAGGGGGCAGGTCATTAATATGAGGTACATGGAGTATTTTGAGAAAATTCTTCATTTTATCAAAGATAGGATCCTTGTTTATCACAGGTAAATTACTGTTTTTGTTTTTGGTTTTCCCCCCCACTTCTCCCTAGTAACATTGATTTTGAATTTTATATAACACTGACATACGATTCCAGAACGATTCAGAGATATTTTCTTAATTCTACTAAATTCTAGTTTAGCATCGGAACTTAGCATCGGACCTGTCTATTTCTTAGTAGAAATGCTCTTGAAATCAGCAATCAGAAAAGAAATACTATGTGAATTACACTATACCTATAAATGAATAACGATACTGCCTTTGTACCCATACTTACAGTATGAGTGGGTGTCACTACTGTCAACCTTCCTTCCCCCTCAACTTTTTAAAGACACTAGGTTCCTTTCTGTAGAACAGAGTACAGTTTCTCTGAATATTGAAACTGTGGTATTTGACAGGTAGTTTTTAAGGAGGAAGAAATCTTTACTACTTCTTACCTAAATGGATTGATAGATGTTGACCTGGGACAGAAGACAGTTGTAGAATCTTAAATTAAGGAATGTGACTAAAGGTAATTTAAATTTCAAACTTTCATCAGTCTTTTATGAGTTAAATGTCTTTCAAACCTAATTTGTGGCAACAGTCTTCTGATAAAAACCAAAAATGTCTTAGCTTTTAATTTTGCTATTTTTTCTTTGGCCTGCTAACTTTTTGAGTATTGAGTTCTGTTATTCAATGTCATTGTGTTACTTAAATTTCAAAAGAATAAAGTGCAGAAATTTCTTATAACAGTTGGAAACACTTAAAATTGAAAACATTTATGGTACCTACTGAAGGTTTAATAAGCTTTGTATTAACTGAGAATTCTGTCCTCTCTTGAGAGAAAGCTTGTCCAGACTGAGTAGGCAGTATTTGAGCTTAAACCAGAGCAGTTTGTGCTATGGTGTTTAAATACTTCTTTTTAAAATCTGGATGCAGTCATTAGTACATATTAGGGAGTAATTTCGGTAGGTTTTTCCACAGTCTGTCTGTGATATTTATGTACCTTTAAGGCTATATAAATGCATGCATTCTGCGATGAGTATTTCTAAAGCTATCTCTATTCTTTTTCCGCCTTTCCTTAGCAACCCCCTGCCTACATTCATGCAAGTACTGTTTAGTGTTTTGCTGAGAGCAAACAAGAAAAACTTGCAGTCTGAAATTGAGGTTTGAAGCCGAAAAAAATACCTGAAATGGTATAGGAAGAAATTACTTTTTAAAGAAAGAAAATGCTTCTCTTGAGCTGTAGTAGAGAAGCATGTGCTAAATATGCAAGAATTCACTTTTCTGAAAAGAAATAATTAGATAACTTTCAGTAATGTATTCCACTGACCATTGGTATAGTTAATTATGTTAAAGCTCATATGAATTTCCTTACTTGCTAGATATGTTCAACCATTACAACTCTATGTCTTTTTTTCAGTGCTAATAATCCAAAAGGACTATTAGAGGTTCGAGAAGCATTGGAAAAGGTACATAAAGTAGAAGATCTTCTTCCCATAATGAAGGTAAATTAAAGAAAAAAAATCTTTATGCTGAAAATAACAAAACTTATACTGGCAAGTATCCAGTTTTTCAGAATATAGCCTTATTCTGTGAGTAACTGCAAACACTCATTCAGGTCATTTCAAATCTGTATATGCAGGGTGTAACCTCCCTTTGGATATATACTGACAAGTCCTATATAATTGCAAGCCTTGATCTACTTGTGAATTGGTAAAAGAAAAGAAGAGAAAACAAAATATTGAATGTAGTTCTTTGAAGTCACTCTTATCAGCCAGGAAGGTTTGTGATCTTCTATAATGGGCTTACAGTTATAGGTAATCAGTATGTTCTACTCTGGAAGGCTACAAGAAAAGGAGCTAGGGACTGAGGTTTTTTTCTACTTTGTGGTGATGGTCTCTGTATAAATTCATTGGATCCTGTGTCTTGTTAAATAAGGTATCCTCTTATCCTCTTCAGTTTAAGCATCAGACTTAAACTGAGTTTGTATGAAAGGTCTGCCTCCCTCCTCCTGTCAGCTAGCCTAGGGTGAGAAGTGCACAAGTATTTGTGAAAATGTTGTTACAAGGTATTTATTTTGTAAAAAGTGAACAGGATTTAATTCAGAATAGAATAGAATATGGGAAGAAGTCACTCTGACCAGAGACAAACTCATTGTTTTCTCATAGGGTATTGTCTGCATTGCAGCTGCATGTGTAGATGCCAAGACCAAGCTGACTAATTGCAGTAGAAAAGTCTTCTCTGCAAGGATATGTGTCTTGCTGCTGCCGAGACCAGTTTTGAACTTGCTCAGCCACTTGTGCACTGTACCTGTGCCTGTGTTACAGAAACTGTGTGGCTCAGGCACAACGATGTGAATGTTTCCATGGGGTGTCTCGATAGGTATTGTAAATACAAGTGTCTTTTCAAAGAGCAGGTGGTAGATTTGGAAGTACCTTTTTATCTTCCTGTCTTCATCTTTGTTTTGTAAGAGGAAGAAGCGAGGTGGATAACAACAGAATCTAAATAAAAACTTGTGAGGAATAAATACTAGATGTTGGTCCTGGAAAGACAATTAAGTGTTCCCTACTGGCACATGAATGTATAAATAGGGCCTTGCAGAGTACCTAATATGGTCCTACTATTACTGGATTGTAGGCCAGAAAAAAGTGCTATTAGTGGGTTTGAAAATACAGATTATTCCTAGAGGGTGATGAAAATATATAAACATAGCAGACTATACATATCTTATTTTGAAATAATGTTTCTAAGAACTGACAGCAAGTATTTTTCCTTGTTTTCATAACCAATACATTTTGTTCTGATTTGAATCTCTATTTCCTGTATTTCATTCTAAATGGTATCTTGTTTCTCAAGAAAGGCTTTTAAATGTGTTTCTTTAAAGTAAGTCCAGATTATTTTGGTTTAAATGTGCCATAATTATTTCAAAAGAATACTAATGATCCAGGGTGTTACTGCTGAATGAATTACTTGCAACTGTTGCACAATGGTCATTAATAGTGCCTGCACATACTGAATGCTGTGCTATTGACACAGTTTGGTTATTTGGATAGTTGAGGAATGTTGTCTGTCAAAAGCTGGGCTTCTGCGTTTATTTTAAATACAGTTTTGCATGGTTTATACATAGTTATTACTCTTTGGCTACATGTTACACTTAGCTAAATCAACTTTGTAAAATTCTTAAAATGTTGTGATATTTTTCCTCCTGATGAGGATAAACATTAATTGAGCCTGGATTACAGTTAAGAAATTTGTTGCTAGGAGCTGTATTCTAGAATCCAGTTTATACTAATGCATTTACTCGTCACTGTAAACAGAAAATACAAGCTGTAAAACTCAGGCTTTTGCATTTACATTGTGACACCAAATGGTTGCTATCAACATGCAACTTTGGAAAATATCGTTGTCATCTGTATAACTTTATGCAGTTGCTTTTCACAAGGACTGCAGATTTGTTTTCACTATATAAAATAGAATTGCAGTATCCGTCATTCAGTACTTGAGACTTCCATTCAGTAGTAAACAAAAACTGAGTGAAATAATGTTGTCCACTTTTATTTCTGGTCCAGGTATTTTACGATGTTTTAGAACAATAGTTAAGAGGTCTGTCCCTGTGCATCTTCTCTAATATTCCATTCTTTTTTCTTTTGAAAGCAGTTTAACAGTAAAACAAGAGATGGGTTTACTGTGAACACTAAAGTCCCCAGCCTCAAAGATCAAGGGAAAGAATATGATGGGTTCACAATTACAATAACAGGAGATAAGTATGTTTGTTGTTTTCAATATATGCATGAAATGCTGTAATGATGAATTATTAGAAGTTAATTTATTCTCAAAACACCATTTTCTGCTTGCATAAAGTGAATTTTGTGTTTCACTGTTGGCATTTGTGCAAATAATTAAAACTTTTGTTTATCTGAGGTCTTCCCGTTCCCACTGTCTTCCCTAACAAAAGGGGAATATGGGGAATATTTAGGGAGCAGGCCCAGTTGATATGATTCTCTAGAACAGAGCATATAAGTGAAGGGAGACTTTGTTATTTGTTGTAGGTAATAAAGTACTAGAGGAGGAAAGTTTTTTTTCTATGCTGAAATATTTTGTGAGACCTTGGGTGGATATTAGACGTCCTGAGTGGAATGGAAATTCCTGCAATCCAGGAATGGAAAAAGCTGTCTGTTTTATTTGGTTATTTGGTTTTACAGCTTTACAACCCTTTTTTCTTTTTCTTTTGTTTAATTGTGGATCTTGTATCTGTTATTGGCAGCTTTGACTGTGCCATTTTGCTGGGAAGGTGTGTTCAGGGGGCTATGGGCCAGGCCCTCGGTAATTGCCTCCTTTCAGGGATACTAGCTCTTTAACTTTTCAAAGCATGACTATTAATCTGACGTTCAGAAGCCACTTCCATCTGGAAGTTTGAGTAGGCAGAGCTTGCCTCTGCTTCATTATGGGATTTTTGAATTGAAAAATTTCCCACAACTTGTACATTTTCAGTGTGTGGAGGCTGGGCTTACAAACTAACATGTTAACTTATCTCTCAGTTTTTAAATTTACATTCTAAATTATAGGTCTAAATATAGTAAGATGATATAAAATATATGGCACCACAGTCTTGGAAAACTGCTTTAGTGCAATTGGAACTGTACAATTTTGTTCTGTAGAGATTTTTTTTTCTGAACGGATCTGTTTCAATCCATAGTTTTAAGTACACTATTATGCAGAGACAGTTCCAGTTTAGTGGCTTGCATCTTAACAAAAATATAGTGTGTGTTCTATACAAAAGTGCCAAAACCAAGAAGATATTTAAAAATATCTTCTCCTCACCTGTGCCTCACCTCCCACACACACTTGAAGTGGAACACTAGTGTTTGTCAGATACCCTTTGGTGGAAATACTTCATCTGTGATCAGACATCAGTCTGTACCTACTGAACCAGAGAAACTTAGAGCGTAACAAAATGCTTTTAATTTCTCTGATTGCTGTGGAAGGGACATGCAATTCATTTATTCTTGTACTTAAGAAGAATGGTAGGAAAAGATTACAATGTGACATTTTACTGAAGTAAATTTGTAGCTTACCTTGGATATTTCATTGTTCACCAAACTCTGTGAAAAAAAATCTTTGTTTTTTTTAATCTGCTTGACAGAGTGGGGAACATACTATTTTCAGTAGAAACTCAGACGACTGAAGAAAGAACACAGCTGTATCATGCAGAAATAGATGCACTATATAAGGATTTAACAGCTAAAGGAAAAGTACTAGTTCTATCTGCAGAGCTGGGGGTAAGGTTATTTTAATGGAAATGATGAGTTTCTTGATGTAGTTCTATTATGTTTTATACCTTATGTTTAACAAGTACTTCTTAAAAAAAAATCTTTGAGATTCTAAGTATTGAAGATCTTAAGTAATGAAAATGACTACTTGTTTAAGCCTAATTATGACAGTTAAGGTAATTGCAATGTTTTTCCCTTGTTACTTAGTTTGTTTTGCTGCAGCAAAAGTCCAGCCAAGAAAGTTCCAGTGTCACAAAGTGCTCCGAGATAGAAATATGCTTTTTTGTTTGTTTGCTTAATACAGTAAATCTGTGATCACTGCTTCATTCTCCTGTCAAGTACTGCTTGAGATCGTGTGTAGATTTGGTTCCTGGTGGCCAGATGTGAGAAGTAGGATGAAACCACAGATCCATGGCAAAAAGCTATAATTGTGGATCTGACTGCATTTCAGCTTTTTGTTTCTGTGTTTTTGTCCTTTACCACAGTACAGGCTCACCTAAATGTTTAGCGTATAATGGAATAATTTGCTTAAACTGAAGTCTGATTAACAGATGTTTATCAATTTGATTTTTTTATACATTTGAAATAATTCTTTAGAAAAAATAATATAATAAGACCTTTCTTAGTATTGTACATGATTACTGTACATGATTTTGTGTTTTTTTATCTGAACTAGAGGTGGTTAATTATCTTTATTTTGTTTTCTTCTTTTTTTAAACTTAGGAAGCAGATGCTGTGTGCAACTTGATCCTGTCATTAGTTTATTACTTTTATAACCTAATGCCTCTTTCAAGAGGATCCAGGTTAGTGTTTTTCTTTTATCATGCATCTGTTTTCTTCAAAACATTCTGTAAAATGCCTGTACGTTCCAGTATCCTAATATATTTATTTCTAAGTAGCTAAAAAACAGGCTCTGATTTTGTTGCACGATTGAATTGTTTGTCCTGCAGTGTCTCACTTTATGCCGCCATGACAATGGCAGCTGACTTTGCACTGTTTTAACAGCTGGCTTGTCATTACTGATGCATATTTAAAAGGATTAGTCTGTAGACATAATGTTTATAGACATTAGCTCGCAGACTGAAAAGTGTCATTTTTTTTAAATTGTAGTGTATGACTTTCTAATCCATAATACACTACAGTAGTGTAACTTCACTCAAAATTTTACTGAAATATGTATCCTAATTATCTTTTTATGATGGTTTAATTTAATAAGGAACACTACTCAGTAAATATTAATTCAGTAATTTATTACAACTGCTAGGGTCACTAAATGAAACTTTAGAATAAATCCCCCATATTTTATAGGTCTCCAATTGAAATTCCAATTTAATTCAAACCTGGTAACATCTAAGACTATGCTGAATCTCTGTTCCACAGAGTACTTAAGAGTTTTAACCTTATTATTAAATGCAGTTTAGATTAAGAATGAGATTTTCAGTTCTGTGAACGAGCTTTGTTTTTACCATACAGAATGCAAAAATGAACAGAAATTTCACAATTTAAAAAAGTTAAATATTGAACAGTTGTAGGGTTAAAAAGTTCACTTTCTGCTCTGCAGTGATTCTAGCTCCATTACAGCAAAGTTCATTAGCTCTGCTGATCTGTAGTTGTAGTTAATCTTCTTTAAAACAGAAGTTCGGTTTGTCTTTAACTTTTGTGGAGTTTTAAGAGCTCACAAGTCTGAAGTTGTGATTCTGACTCCTGTAGAACAGTGTTTTCCAGTAGTTCATCTCCATTGGACTGTAAATTCATTTGCATGGTATTGGAGAATGAAAGTGATTTCACTCTCCAATTTTAAGTGTTTCATGTTCCTTTTTGC